TTAGATTGTAGTCACAATTTCAATAGAATCTGGTAAGGGTAGAAAAGCTGGTTGTGTCTTCTAGTTTTCTTAAATGGACTTATTACACTTAATTGGATTTTTAAGAGGAATTGATTAGAGTTCTTATTGCGAAATAGAATTGAAATTGGAACTCCTTTGCCTTTAAGTAGAACTCAATTGAAAATTTAGAAGGACAAAAAGACAAGCTGGAGAAAACCAAGAAACAAATCTCGAGAAAACAAAAACGAACCTCGAGAAAACCAAAAACATAGAAAGAGAAAACCAAAATAGCTTCAAAAAAATGAACCATATTTCCGGAACTCGTTCAACGTGTGTTCACCAAAGAGTGTCTATGTGTGTTGTTTTGTTTTTTGGTTTTTGTTTTCTCGAGTCTTATTGTTTTTGTCTGGCTTTCTCAAGATGTTTCCTCTGTGGATGTCCTGAAAAGCCAAGCTGGAACTGATCCCATCAAGCCCAGACGACTATGAACGTCCACCTTGCAAGAGTTCCGAGCCAAAGGCGGCGGAAAGAAATGAGCCACTTCAAAGTTCGAGCCTTGAATCCCCTCCCACCCTTCAGGTTCCCTCTAATTGGTGGTTTGGAATTCGTGGTGTGGTGGTTAAGGAAGGGATCCATTTTCCCTGTACAAGAATTCAGGAGTTCAAATCCCCAAACCACCAATCCAAACCACCAAAGAAGGGGTACTCTAACCCAAACCCACCCAAACCTACGGGGCGCGGATGTGTAACACTTGCTAGCTTTTTCTGACTCTTTACAAGACCCCAATCAAAGGACACAAATGGGTCACTGAGCTTTAACCTCGATCATTTTCCCACGAAAACCCCGGTTTACTGCCTCAGTCTCTCAAAGCCACTTGCCACAAATCCCTCTGATCACTAACTGTCCAGCGCGAAGACACCCATCCGGACTTTGCGCGCGAGCGCCAGGACCGGATGTCCGATGCAAGGCGAGTCCCAAAAATGGGCGCTGGAGAGCGTTGGGGCTCCGAAGTAGTTTGCAGCGGCTCTGGTCTGGGGTTCCGGAAGACTTGGGTCGCGGGAAGGGTACTTTAGGCCGGGTTTTGCGTGAAGAGGGTTTCCCCTTTGAAGAAAGCGCTTATTTGGAGGATGTCACTTTCATCGACCCAATTGGATGGCCCCATTTAGCAAGCGAACGCAAAACACCATCGATTCCTATTGACCATAGGTGGTTCTTCTTCGCTGACACGAATCAATTTGTTCGATCGCCTAAAAGGAGAGGCCACTCCCACCTTTCGACCGGAGCATCGGCTCACTTACTTTGCTGCACGTGAGTCACGTCCTCAAAATTGAGTCGGGTACCCTCCCACCAATGAATAAGGAACCTGACGTTCGGGGGTTTCTTTAAATGGACAATTGCCTTGCACCCATCTGTCAGGTTCCATGTTTGTTGGGTGCGAGGGCAATTGGAAGGGATCTGGGGATCGGCCATGCTGGGGATCGGCCATGCTGGGGATCGGCCATGCTGGGTATGAGTGTGACTCACTTCTTTTCGCGGAACCCACTTGGAACCCGTTTGATGAGAGGCTCCGGAAGGGTTCGGAAGTGATGCGTGAGATGTGATTTGTTCTTTCTGCCTAGTTTGCGGCAAGCTCACCTGGGGGTAAAACGAGCTCACCATGGTAAGGATCCTTTACTTGGGGATTCCTTGTTTCAGGTTTTGGAGTTTTGCAAGCGTTGCAGATTACTTTTAGGATTCCCGGGCTCCGAATTCCGCATTTAAGCACGTCCAAGTGAGACAACAGTGGTTGATGCGCAACACATCGCATGGGGAACAGAAGGGGATACGCTGTTTGCCAGGGTTTTGTGGTCGGAAGTGGTTGGTCGGCCCACTTGCGACATTTGGGCGGAGAGGGTCCAATTAAACATCTCGCTGCAAGAATCCGAGCCACCATCAAGACTTGTTTGCTGGAAAATGGAAACTCAAAGGAGAATCCCGAAGCAGCTTTTTCCGTGCTGTTGTGGATGCCATCCAGACTCTTTTCTATTGGGGTGGTTTGAGCAAGGATTCCTAAAACATATTTTGCCCTTGTCTAGGTGGCTTCCCCCCGCCAGGTGCAATGCTTTCAGGGGTAAATATGGACGCCGTCCTTTTTGTTTTTTGTTTGCTTTGCGTGTGTTTCTTTCTTCCTTTGTCTTTTTCCCTTCTTTCCGAAAGCGTATCGAAACCGCAGCTGCGCCGGATCCTCGAAGTCGGGTCCATCTTTTTGCTTCGAAGCCCACCTTAAACCTCCGGTGGGTTTTTCGGCCCGCCCGAAAAGCGCGCCCGCCCGCGGCGCACAGGTACGCGCTGCAAGAATCTGAGCCACGATCAAGACTTGTTTGCTGAACGATGGAATCTACAAGGGACAATTTTCGAATCAACTTGCTGCTGTGTGTTTTTTTGGCGCAAATAACCAGCTTTCAGGGAGGCTCGTGGCGGGTTTCAGGCGGTTCCGTGCTGTTGAGGATGCCAAGGCGCGTTTCTATTGGGGTGGTTGATCAAGGATTCCTTGGATCAAGGATCTTGTCTAGGTGAGTTCGGCCGCCAGGTGCAATGTTTTCAGGGGTAAATATGGAAGCCGTGTTTTTTGTTTTTGTTGTTTGTTTTGTGTGTGTGTTTCTTCCTTTCTTTCTTTCTTTCTTTCTTTCTTTCTTTCTTCCTTCCTTCCTTCCTTTCATTCTTCCTTCCTGCCTTGCTTCTTTCTTTCTTTCTTTCTTTCTTTCTTTCTTTCTTTCTTTCTTTCTTTCTTTCTTTCTTTCTTTCTTCCGAAAGCGCATCTGCGCGTCTGCGCATCTGCGCGGACCTGCGCGGACCTGCGCGGACCTGCGCGGACCTGCGCGGACCTGCGCGCGGACCTGCGCGGAAAGCGGCGCGGACCTGCGCGGACCTGCGCGGACCTGCGCGGACCTGCGCGGACCTGCGCGGACCTGCGCGGACCTGCGCGGACCTGCGCGGACCTGCGCGGACCTGCGCGGACCTGCGCGGGACCGCGGACCTGCGCGGGAAGCGGCGCGGACCTGCGCGGACCTGCGCGGACCTGCGCGGAAAGCGGCGCGGACCTGCGCGGAAAGCGGCGCGGACCTGCGCGCACCTGCGCGGACCTGCGCGGACATGCGCGGACCTGCGCGGACCTGCGCGGAAAGCGGCGCGGACCTGCGCGGGAAGCGGCGCGGACCTGCGCGGACCTGCGCGGACCTGCGCGGAAAGCGGCGCGGACCTGCGCGGAAAGCGGCGCGGACCTGCGCGCACCTGCGCGGACCTGCGCGGACATGCGCGGACCTGCGCGGACCTGCGCGGAAAGCGGCGCGGACCTGCGCACACCTGCGCGGACCTGCGCGGAAAGCGGCGCCAAGCTCGCAGGTCGGCGCCCAAAGTGGCGGCCTCGCGGGCCGAGGACTCCACGGCCACCAGCAGCCCGGGGCCCAGGCGATCGCCTCGCCTCGCCTCCGCTCGGCTCGGCGAGTGGCCGAAAGCTCCGGGGCTGGGCGCTGGAAAAGGAAAGGAATGGCGCAAGGAAGCGCCCAGGTTGGAGGACAACAGGGAAGTGGAGTTGATCACTCATTTTTCTCGATTTTTTCAGAAAGCACTGCGGTGATATATACTTTTGGGAATCCCCTCTTTATATGCGGGGTTAGTCTTTGTGTGTTGTATCACACAGAAGTTGTCATTTCCCACAGCCCTGGATGAAAATGTTCAGGGAAATAATGGTGGAGTTCATGTTGACCCCACCTGTTTGTCAAAAAAGGGGTTGGTTTTGGGCCCCTCGAAAAGTGGTCTGATTCCCCAAACTTAGGGAGACGCACGCCCCATTGTCAATGCTCTCGGGTTGATGAATACTGTGGATGGACGAAGTCTTGCACCACCTAACAATCCCTGGAATGATGATTCCCCTGTAAATACCAACAAGAAGTCGTTTCCCATGGTTTCAAAGTGGTGCGAAATGGATTTTGTAACCATCCACAGTAAGGGGTCAACATTCTTGGGAAACCGAGCCGGTCCGATGGAAGGGGACCAGGGACAGATCTGGCGTAGTTTCATTGATCCACCTCGCTCAAGACTCGACTAGAAACGGGTGATTGCCCCAAACAAGGGTTCTTGAATTCCTTTGTTTTACGGGTAGTTTGAGACTTGAGCTCAAAATGGAGGGATCCCGAATCCATATTGCGGGTGGCACCACTCCGAAGGAAACCACTACCCACCATGGCGATTCAATGGAAGATTCCAGGACCTCGAAAGGGAACATGTACAGAGGCCTTCTGGGGGAGCTTCCGGCTGCTAGCCGGAGGGAGTGGACGAAAACCTGTCCGGATCCTGGCGCGTAAGATTTGCCAACAGCCAGATGGGTTGGTGGTTTAGGGAACCCCAAAATGGGGCTCCTAGGCATGTCTCATCTTGGGGTCCCCCCTTACCTAGCAGTATCCCTTTCAAACCAACCAAAAAGGGTACCTTGTTTGGCTGGGAATCGGAAGGAGCTAAGAGTCAAAGGGTTGTGTTACAGGTCCCCAAAACACCGGGTGTTTTGTAAGTAAGCTGCTATTCTGTAGAATGGCCCGTAACCCAACCCTTTGAACAAGACTTTCCTCTTCTGCTTCTTGGCTCCAAGAAGCTCGTCTGGATTTTTTTCCGGCGATGTACAGGGACTTAGCAACGCCAGACACGAAACCAAGACATAGTCTCCAAACAAAGCAGTTGTCCTACCCGAAGGAGACCCATACTTCCGGTTTTTTCTTCTTTGAACTTTTGACTGGCCAAATGGGACGGTTTTCCCTTAACCCGGCAAACAGGTTTTTTTCTTTTCGGGGGGGGGGGGGGGTGTTGGGAGGTCAAGAGCTTTGATCTCAACGGTGTGAAAGTGGGCACAGCTCCCATGTGGGTAAGGGAATAGCGAAAATTGCTCCATGGAGCTGTTGAAACTCCGAGTCTCACCCAAGATCCGCCACCATTGGTCCTTTTTCTTCTTCTTTTTTTCTGCGCCGCAGACATCTCAGCTCACGCTCTTTCCGCAAGAGGGCTTGTTTGCCGCTTCGCAATGGTCATGAAAGCCGGGCGCAAGTCAGGGGACACGGGTTTGTCTCAAAGTGGCGGCACCCAACCAACAACGGTTGGTTTTCCTGCATTTGCCTTTGAACCAACCAACAAGTGCCCTCACAAAAAGACACACCCATATCCAAGTTGGTGATTCTGAACATCACCGTTTTGCCCATACGGCAAATATAGGGCGCCCAAGTCCAGATGGGAGCCTTTTGGTTTAGGGGTTGAATATGCTTGACGGTGAGAGGATTAACTGACGGGTTGCTTCGATGTTGAAAAAGCCTTGTGAAGGTGCGTGAAGGAAGGCCAAGCAAGGCTAAATATGGGTCCGATTCTTTGACGAGGATCGATTGCGTTGTACAGCATTGCGTTTTATAGCATGTTGTGCCCACTTTTCCGCTATTGGTTTGGCTCAGTTCTTGCTGGGATAAACATGGAGTTAGATACGGAAATTAGGTCCTTTTGAAGTTGAAATTGCTTCCAGTTTCAACTGAACATGTCAAACTGTTTTTTCTCCAGTTGTTGTTTGCTCGAAATGCACAAGGAACTGAAACTGGTTAAAGTTGAATTTGGTTTGAACTCGAAACAACAATTGAAATATGATATTCTTCCTCTATGCTTTATTCTCAGTTGATGTTAAGCACCCACATGATGTTGATAGGAATTGCTTTGCAAGTAGCAATTCACATAGGAACGAGCTCCTGTCCCGCAAATCGATGTTTTGCCGAGTTTCCTCGCAAAAAAAAACACAATAACAAAAACCAGCAGAGCTGTTGCAATCACGGTTGAAGCTGCGAAAGTATCAAAGTGTACTTTGCCTACTACATGTGTAGTGAATAATGTGACCTTCGAGCTGCTCAAACAGGAATTCCTCCTCAAAATGCAAAACCTGTCAAAATATCCTTCATCCGCAAAGACCATCGTCATAACAAAGGATCAATTACCGGTCAGCTGCCGCAATTGGGATGACATTGGGCACACTTGAGCCAATCCCTTGAAGACCCCATGGCCAGATAGGGCTGACTTTGAGCCTTGCTGTTTTCGGGCCCAAAGATTCGCCACACAGCACCCTGGAAGTTTTGGGGTGGTTTTCAGTAACCATCGTCCTACTTGGTTTTGCCGGCATTTGCAGTGGCGTGCGTCACCAAAAGGATACCGTTTCAGCCATAGGTTTCCTTGTTGATTGATTTGGTTGAAAAATAGAGGACGATTTCTGGCTTACCCGGTGGTTCAGTCAACTACCAGAGCCAGCGATTTTCCAAAAAGGTAAGCCATCAACGAGGTCCCCGAAAGGGTCTTTGCGGGGTCTGTATGGATGTCCGCGTCATTTTGCAAGTTCATGTAAGCTACTGTTGATGGACGAAATCCTAGCTTGAAACCATGCTTGCAAGCATCGTTTGTTCCAGTGCCACTTGACGTACCTGAAATCCATTTCGCACGACGAAATGAAACCATGCTTTCGCACCAAAACAACTGTTGGCATTTACAGGGGGAATCATGTATCATTGCGTTGGTCTTCCTAGGGCCCGCAAAAACAGGGTCCTTCTTGATTTGGAAATCGAGACGCGCGGATGTCCGATACGAAGGTCTCGGAGGCGATGGCGATGGCGCGCGCCCATGCGAGCAAGCTGATGGCAAAGGCCCAGGTGCGAGGGGGCAGCGAGGTGGCTTTGGGGTGTGTCCTTCCTTGTGTTCTTATCATTATTATTTTTTAAGGGGAGGTTGGTTGGGGGTTGGGAGGTTGTTGAAAGTGATTTGTTTTGGATCTGGACCTTCCCAAAACAGTTGGTGGAGTTTCCTTTTGGTTTCCATTTAAAAGCATGAAAAACAAAAGACAAAAAAACGGGTACCCTCGCAAAAGATAGAGCGAACTTCGTAATGTTGACCCCCGGACCTAAGTAGTGGGGAGGCGGCGGCCCTCAAGTTTTGAAGCCAGTCTTCTGAAATGGGGACACTCCCCTAGTAAGCATTTTTTTTTTTTAATCTTTTGTTTTTGTCAACAGTACCTTCATACTGAGTTGTGAAATCCAGTGCGCAGCAGTTGATAGGTGGTTTGTCCCGTTGCTCATTCTTGCTTGCCCATCCCGGTGCGAACCCCACAGTATCAAGGGACCTCCTGGGTGAATGAGGGCTTTTTGCAGCCACAGTTCAGTGGATTTCGTCCAGGAGCTGCGGGAAGAGGCGCTGGAGAGAGCCGAGCGCGTGAAGGACCAGGCGGGAGGAAACGGATGCGATCCGAAATTTCCGCCCTGAAGGAAAAGGAAAGAGTTGTCCCGGTGGATTTCCTCTGGCTAGAGAACCGAGCCACAAGCCCCTGGTACCGGTCAACTGCGAGACATTGCAGGGTTCCCTCCCCGCCATATTGTCTTTCAGATGGCTGTTTAACCGGTAGGCTGGTGCTTCAGCCTCTGTTCATCCCAATGCTTGTCAAGGGAGACCCTTTTCAACCAATTGTAAAGTGCAGTACGGCGGGTGCTGAGCACCTGCAGCCGAATGTCTGTTCCGGTGATTTTCTCTGGCAAGAGAACTTACCCACATTCAACCACAACCCCTAGTACCGGCAAACTACGGTAGATTGCAGGGTTCCCGCTGCCACGTCGGCATCCCTGGATCTTTCCAGGAACAACTTAACCCGATTTTCACAACAAACTTCTGGACAGATGGATCAAATCCATTTTGCCCCACCTAAGAAACCCTGGATTGGATCGATTCCACTGCAAATACTAACAAGCAACAATGGTTTCAACTCCATGGTTTCATCTCCCGTGGTGCGAGAAGCGGATTTTGCAGCCCCAAAAGTCGTGGGTCAAAACGCCGGCCGCTGGCTACATGGTGAAATCCTTGAAAGGGCACGATTCGGAGAAGAGGTTGCGCCTCAACCCAGGAATCCCTTCAGCGCCTTTTAAACGGCCGTAAGAAATTTGGCAACTCAGGAAAGCCGGAAGTCTGGCCCCTGCTTTGCCTGGCGGGTCTTGGGGTATGATTTCAAGCGTTCCGCGTATCTAAAAAGCCCAGGGTTCTGCGCATTTGGCGACGAAAGGTGAGCAAAACATATTTTATGCGAAGACTCGTCTACCCCAGTTTATCGCTTTCAAACTGCAGGGATGTCGAAGTCGCACGCCTTGTCTTCCTTGCAAGCATCTGAGAACGCGCTTGTTGCTGGTTGAAAAGGGTAGGTAGGGAGGGAGTCCCTGATTCTTGTGCACAGACACTTGAAGTTTGCAACGGGCGGAAGCCATGATGGATGTACACGGATGCTGCAAAAGTGCATTCATTCTTAAAGGGGCCAACTTGGAGCCAAGCTCGACTTAAATGGTGCACTTGTACAGGAAACATGGCAGGACGAGCGCGCAGATGTCTGTCAAGCTTCGCGCAGGCATGCAGCTTCAAAAGCCTTCTCACGATCGAGAAGCAGTTTGCCGGAGCTGTTTGGCCGTGCTACTGCGCAACCTTGCTAAAGCCAACAAGGCAAACATCTGTGTAGCCTTGAAGGGAGTGGAGCAGCTCCAGCTCCTTGAGCAAACGCTGGGCGACAAGTCAACCAGCAGAATCGCGGCCTTGACGTTTTGCGATACATGTACGTGTCGAAGCCGTGATCAAGTCGCTCAGGATGGCGCTGTCAACCATGAGAACTTGTCTGTTCAGACAACCTGGGAAAAACGGCGCAGCGCATGACTGGCTACCGACTCCAAATGCAAGTATCCAAGCACAGTGACAGAACCAGGACAAGCTGATCGATGTGCTAAGCTGAACTGAAATTACGAATACGTCTCACTCACTGATTTCCCATCGCGGTCTGTGCCAATCATACCTACATGAATCACTGCTCAAAGATTCCAGAAGTTGGACAAGCAAAGACTACTACAGCGCTTTCTTGCAAATCAACTTGCTAGGGGTGAGTTGCGACAAGTAGCTGAACACCTCCACCTCAAGCTTCCAACCAGCAACGCATTCCTTCAACTCGTGAGACTCGTCTTCTGTCCTCCACTGAGAATCCATCCAGGAGGCGAAAGCCTCAGCAGAGTTGGAGAGGCTCTTCGCTTTGTCCTGAAGGTGCTGGAAAAGGGACTCCAGGAGTCCTTCTCCTTGCCAGATGGAAGAACCGACAAAGCCTCGCGGACACTGCCAAGCTCCTGCGCTGCATCAACCCACCCAACAGGGGTGTCAGCCAACTTTGCCAGGATGAGTGTGGCCACCTCGACCGCGGACTGCCACATGCTATTCAGGGATCGGCTGGGTCATGCGTCAACACAGATGAGAGCTATGGGCAAGGCTTTGGTGACATCAACATGAAGGTGATTGTGTGGGAACATGGTCGCAGCCCACGGTCCAAGAATCAAAGCAGGGCATGGTGGCTTCAAAAACGCCAATCCGTCCTGAGCTGGGAGTTGGACCGGAAAAGCAGGTTCAGTCGGGCGCTGTACTTGCTGATTCCGCCAACAACGGCAGCAAAGTCGGCCCGCTCAGTCGGGGTGAAGAACTCCTTCACTGGGTCGCCCAGCTTTGCACATCCCAAAAGACGCTGAAGATCAACCAAGACCTTCGTGCACAACGCAGTGTCATTGTCCCAGTCGCACTCGACATTGGTTTCCAATGTCAGCTCGTCTGGCAGCTCCAGCCTGCCACAAAACAAAGGCACTAAACTTTCAACAGACTTCAACTGTCAACTTGACTCTCCCGAGCGTACAAGAGCTGGCCTCAAGATGGCAGTTGGGTCGAAAAGCTCGGCGGGAGCAGTTGTCAGCTGGCCATTGATGGACGACAGGCCTCGCAACTTGTCCAACCGCGCGTTGAAGAGGTTGGCCTGGATGGGAAAAAACTGCGGCAGGTCGAGAGCGCCACAGCTGCTTGCCAGCTTCCCAATAAACAAGCCAAAGTGCGTCACGTTCTGCGCTGCGTCCAAGTCCATGTAGTAGAACAAGTGGCTGGAGTTGTTGTGCGCGAAGCAAGCCTGGAGCAGGGCCAGAGTCCGGGAGTTGGGGGGAGATCAGTTCACCCCTCCGCCCCAGCCGTGCTGGCAACAAGCAAAAGCGTGGAATGACCCCGCCTCCAACACAGTCGGTGGAGATGACCCTTACACAGTCCTCTGGCTGAGGCTTCAAGAGGGCGATGATGCGCGGGCAATGGCTTATCAAGGCCTCCTGGATGTCGCTGCGCTGCAAAGTGGGAAACATTTCCAAGGCACTCGCACAAGAGGTCAAGCCTTGCAGCAAGGAATGCAAACTGCTCCATCTGCTCGCTGTGAAGGCTGTTGGCGTGCCATGGCCTTGATGACCTTGGCCTCGACATCCTTGACTTTCAGAGAGCCTTGCCAAACCTGGATTGGACTCATAAAAGGCTGGTCTGCAACGCCGTGAGCTGGGCTCTGCGCGCTGCTTTGCCTCTGGCCTGGGCATGGAGTTTCACGAGTGCAGCAGTGGCAACAGCTGTTTCAAATTTATCCCTTTCACTGCACATTTGATAACGCAGTGTCATTCATGTCAGTATGTTGCTGGCTTGACCGTTGACCGCCGATTCAAGACGCCTTGGACAAAAGGCCTACTACGTGAAGCGTGTCTTGCAAAGAGCAAGTTGAAACAGTCAAGGCCACTCACCGAGAAGGCTTCATCTTGGAAAGGCAGGGGTGGGTCTCTGACACGTGCCTTATAGACGGATGGGGACCGGGGTGTGTACAGCCACGCTCGTGTCTCTCATGTCAGGAACGCAGAGTCCTTTATCGTGGACACGCCGCTCAAGCGGTTTCCTGACCCTTAGCACGCGTGACCATAAGAACCGCAGGATTACTTTGCAGATGGGTATGCCGTTGATTCTTGTCGTGACGGCCCATGGTCTGCGCACCAGCAGCTGGGGCCGTGCGTTTGTGGATGTGTGCGGAAAATTGGGATGGAACTCAGCACAAATTTTTTGTTTGTTGATCCGGACGCATCTGGGGTACTCACGGACACGCCGAGGATCAGAGGAAGTGACGCAATGGTTGCGCTTGACGCTCGCTCGCGCCAGGGCTCGGCTCTCATGGCCTCAAGTCCACCTTGTTGTCTTGGGCAGCCAAAGCAGGCGTCAGTGAATCTGATCGACATGTTCTTGGCCATCACGCAATGACAGGAAAGAAGTCCATGACGGTTTACTCGAAGGATATTTCTTTCCTGACGCGTCCAGATATGCAGAAAGTGCGCCCAAGCCAGCAACTGTCGAGTCGGTTGTGAAAATTGAAGACTCAGAGGGAAAGCCTTGAGGCCTGAAAATGGCTGTCAAGAACAGCCTGCCATTGGAGTGAAGCCGAGAAAGACGAAGAGTTCCCACATGCGCATGGCGCAGGAGATGGTGAGCCCTCTCGCTTTTTTTTCGGGGGGGGTTTGTCGGTCCTGTCGGTCCATGCCAAGTTGCCGTGAGACTTGGACAGAGCAATGCTGAAATTCACGGCGGTATCGGCGGTTCTTTAGTTACTCAGTGGCAATTGAGATCCCCCTTGCAACTGCTACGCAAGTAACCGTACTGGTCCGTGCTGAGCGATCTTCAAGATATGAGACATCGCAGCACACGTGATAGAGTCATCGATTGATGGCTTCACCCAGTTCCGCCGCCTGTTGGCTGGTTAACACAGAGACGGATTTTGGGCACCCGGCGATGTGCTGCATGGATCGAAGAGAACACATAAAAGATATACACATACATTTTTTGTAGATGACATGCAAAACCTTAAGCAAATGCATACATACGTATTTCTATATAAATATATGCGTGCGCGCATGCTTTTCCTGGGGCTCTGTCGCTGGGTTCGCGCGAAACGTCCGCCGTTCCGCCGCGTTGCCGCGACCGCTCCGCCGGTCGCAGGTGGTGGCGGCGGCGCAGGCGGCGAAGGCTTCGGCGGAGCGGCGCGTGGAGGTGCTGCAGCTGAGGGCGCTGAAGATGGCCAAGGCCTTGGCCCGAAGACTTGAGACACGTTTCGGTGCTTCTTTTTGTTTAGGGACCCAGAAGACTTGAGACATGGGGTGTTTCTTTGGGTTTTTGAGGGGATCCCCGAAATTTGGTTTGGGTTCTTTTTTCGGTGTCTCAGGCTGGTGCAGAGTAGGGAAGGATGGAATGAACCCAGGGGCCTTCTTCTTTTCTTTTAAGCGGACCCATCAGAACAAATTTCTGTTTTGTTCTCGTTTCCCACAAAAAACCACGGACCCAAATGACTGACGCCCGAGCCAAGTCTGGGGGCGCCAGGTCCGCCAAAACCCCCCCCTCCACATTTTAAGCCCCCACCCCAAAAAGATAAGAGACCATACGACATTGTTGTAGGTGTTATATAGTGTATATATCTATATATAAAGGCAAGATCTTTTGCTGGTGCTCAGTGGGAATAAGGGAATGAACCCAGGGGTCCCCTTAAAGAAGACCACAAAGGGAAAGGACTTGATGCATGGGGTGTGTTTGTTTTTTAGGGGACGCCGACAAATTGGCTGGTTATGATGTGGTTTCCAATTCCCTTTTCCAGGGTACTCACAAAACAGCACAGGCCCAAATGACTTGCGATCGGTGTGATTGCTAGGGAATGTCTGGATGTGGTAAAACAAAATGGAACCTGTGGAAAGGGTGTCGAAATGTACTGGGGTGGTCTTCAAACCATCATTCAGGGCTCATTTTGAGGATGTCTTACGAAAATGGACCCAGTTGGATGGCTAGTTGGAACCACCTCAGAAGTGGTTGGTGAATCCCCAAATGTCCACCAAAGCATCCCGCAGTTAGCAAAGTCACACCCAGTAGGTTTGACGGTGACTCAGCTTCCAGCCGGAAATAGGTGCAGTGAGAAACCCTCCGCATTCGGTACATGGGGGTTGGTCAAAATTTGGGGCCCCCGGCTATGACCATTTGGCAACTATTCCCATGCCGTTGAAATATCAAATCTTTTAGGTGGGTTTCCCCAATGGTGAACCTTTTTATCACCCCCTACATGGTGGGTTGACAAGTGTAGTATCAGAATTTGATTGTGAGTCACAGTTGGAGGGGGGTTGTCGGTTGTCTCAATTGAGACACAAAAGAGGGAGGGGCTCCCCATATTTGCTTGTTAAAGGTGTCCGGTTTTGAACATTACCCGTTCGCCCTTGTGGCAATTGAAATTGAGCTCCTTCTGGTGGGGGAGAGGATTAATGGGAAGCATGGGGAACAAGGTCAATGATGGCTGGTTTTCTTTTAGTTTGCCTTTGAAACCAACCAAACATAGAGTTGACAAGCTTCAAGGTAAGGTGAGGCTAAGTACGGTTTACTTGCTTAATATTGCCGCGTTTTTTTTCAGCCTTGGCTGATCAGGGACCCAACAGATCACAGCCTTTTTTTTGCCCTTTTGCTAAGACAGAGGAGACAGAACCATTCAAAGTGGCGCAATTTCCTTTTTGTTGGCAAGTTCCGCGAGGTGAAGCAAGGTGCCAATGGCTAAATACAAGTTGCCATGTTGGGTGGTACTGTGTCCAAAAGAAGGGATTTCGGATGAGTGTGCTGGCCTGGACTTTGCAGGGAGATTTGGACAAGCACTGGTCAGGGTTTCCCGCTGTGGATGGTTGCGAAATCCAATTCGCACCTTTCAGAAACCTTGGAATGATTCGATGCCCCAACGTAAATACCAACAAACGTTATGGTTTCAGCCGTGGTTTCTCAGGTGGCGCGAAACGGATTCGCAACCATCCACAGTATCAAGGAAACCCTGACCATGACGGACATTTTGGCTGCGACACCATGGGAACTTGTCTCCGGGAAGTGCCCCCTCGTGCGCTTGGAGTGCTTCCGGGTTGGTCTTTTGGCCCGTTCCCTGACCTTCCCGGGACCTTTCAGGGACCTGCAGAAAGCGACCTGAGACCGGCTTGTTTTGCTCTCAAGTGAGACTAGACCCGGCTTTTTGCTCCAGATGACGCAGGTCAGCCCAGTTGTGGCTAGGGACTTCCTGCATGCGGCATGGTCAAAAGACCTTTTTGTTAGTCTCAACAGTTGACCCAACTGTGATGATTCCTCTTGAGACCCCCCCCACAACCCATCGGCCGAAAAGCGGCGCATCGGAGGAGCTCCGTGCCGAAGGCCTGCGCCCCTTCCTGGCCCAGAAGGCGGCTCCGTGAGTGATGCGAGTGCACCACCAAAACCCCCGAAGGGGGGGGGGGGCCCTTGGAAGTGGTGACTCTTTTTTTCTGTTTTGACCCGGAGAGGGGACATGAATTGGTGCACCAACTTTGGAGGTTCCTAACTCTTGGAATTTCGTGGGCATGGGAGTGTTGACTCCGCATCTAAGTAGAACCCATATTAGTAGGGTGAGTGCCCCCTCAAGTGACGAACCCCGGGGTTTATGAATCCGGGGTTAGCATGAGGTGGTTCTACCTGGTTTCATGGGGTGGGTGTAGTCAGGCTCGTTTAAACCTTAGCCATGAGAAGTCAATGGGCGAAACAGGCGCTGCTCCAGGTGTTTCTCAAAATCGTGGTGGACACCAAAAGGACGCCGCCCAATTGTTGGGCCTGACTTTTTTTTTAAAAGGCCTGATTTGTTTGGTCCCGAGTTTTGCGTTTAAGCCCAAGAGGAAGCCATGCTTCCCTAGGAAGCCACCCATGTTGAGGAGTTCGTTTTTCTTTTTCGAGGCTCACCGATCCTGGCATGGAAAGTCATACCCACAATTCTTCTATTTCAAGCTTTGGGGTGGTGTAAGAATATTTTGGTCAACAGGTTGGGTAGAACATGGCGAAGGGCTCTTTGCCAGGGTTGCCAAAATGGCGGTGTCTGTTTTTAGGGGACCCACAAACTGGGTGGGGTTGCCTTTTGCTTCTCCACCAAAGCCAACCAAAACGGGGAGTTTTGGAGCCTCAAGACCGGAACCACGCCCAAGTCGGGGTACAAAGAGCTCGGCCGAATGAAGGCCGCTATCTTCCTGCGGGTCCAAAATGGGGGTAACCCCAAAATGGGTTATTCTGGTTAATAAGGAGTGCTTCCCCATATCTTTCTCTCTGCACTGGATGCTTGTATCGTGTCCAGGTTTTGAGGGAAGCCATCGGAAAGTCTTGTTGGAGGGACGTGGGACATGAAACTACGAAGAGTTCCCTCTAGAGCATCGCCCCACAAGGAAGCTCACTTTTCAATCGGGTGAGGCTTAAAACCAAAGCCGACGTATAGGGACTGAAAACCAAAGCTGATTTTCCTTTCCCAATCCTTCAAACTAGAAATGTTCTTATGCGCCTGCTACGGATTCCACCTATTCTTCCTCTTGGCCTGTGAAGTATTCTTTTTAGCACCTCTGATTTCCTACAAGGGCGCTGCATGGCCACCGAGTCAGTTTCTAGATAGAAGAACTCAAGGATACTCCCCTACAGATTAGCATGGAACCCGAATAGCCAGTAATTGTAGAGAACCCCCTTTTGGGTCCTTATGCTGCTAATTTGTAGGGGAGTACACAAATGGGTGCAGCCACCTATCCATGTTATACAGATTTTACCCAGCTAACCAGAAAAACAACAACCGCAACACATATGTTCAGCTCATTTTTGCCCGAATTGAACCCATTTTCTCCCCTTGATGTGCGGTTTGTGGGACAAATCCGAGTCTGCGACGTCAGGCCGCGCTGCTGGGCGCCTTTGCGGCGGCCCGGCGCCGAGCGCTGCACGCGGCGCTCGCCGCGCGCTACGCGGAGGTCCGCGGCAAGGCCCAGGCGTGCGGGGGGCGCGGGGGGCGTAGGGGGCGTGGGTCGGCGGTTCCGCTGTTGTTCCGTTTTTTTGGGAGCTGCAGAAGAAGAAACATAAGTAGAAGCAGAAGTAGTAAGAGAAGAAGAAGAAGAACAAGAAGAAGAAGAACAAGAAGAAGAAGAAGAAGAAGAAGAAGAAGAAGAAGGAGAAAGAAGCCGAAGAAGACGAAGAAGACGAAAAGAGGAAGAATAATTGAACAACAAGCAAAGCTGGCCATACTAGACGATGCACATTTATTTGTGTGGTGTGGTTGGGGTGAGGGCGGGTTTAGGTTTAGTGGGTCCGATGTCTTTCTTCCTCAATACAAATGACTTATTTTGCAACACACCCTGAGGCTTGATCACAAAGCGGATGCTGTTCGCAGCGCCGCGAGTATGACTTCTTGTATCCGGACTTCCTTATTTCATCTTCCCTCTGACTCTATTTGGTGGTTTGGATTGGTGGTTTGGAGTGGTGGCTTGGTGGTTGAAGAGGGGTGTCCCATTCACCCTCTACGACTGCCAGGGGTTCATTCCCCAAACCACCAATCCAAGCCACCGACCTGACGGGTGACCTGATGCTTGTCCGTGTGAATAGCACCAATTCTAGGATGTGGTTGTTTGGACCAAAACAAGGAGCTCCCTCCATGGATACGTGTTTTTGGGTTCCAATTAACCTCGGAAGTGTACTGTTGACCTCGGATTAATCTAGAGGATCGTTTCAATGAGGGGTGGATCGCATTTTAGTAGGGAATATATATCTGTTTAGGGAAGTTGTCTGAGATATCCAATCCGAAGCTACATTTGTAGAGAACCGTTTGGTATTCTTTGACCTCGCACTATTGAGACTGCGGGTGTGTGTCTTTTTTGGGTTCGGATATCAGACACCTGAAGGATAGATCCAATTTGCCAGAAATGAAAGGATTCAAGGGGACGGCAACTAAACGTTAAACGTTTCAACCATCACGACCATGTTAGGATTTAGACCCCAAACAAATGATTGGTTTCCTTTTGGTGTACCTTTACAACCGACCAAACTGGGTACCTTCAAAGCAGACAGACCCGTGTGGACAATTGTTTGGCAGCTGGTGGGTTGTCCCACCGAAGTAGGATGTTTCCAGACTCATGGGTCGCCCAACGTTGGTATATTCCGCAGGCTCACTTTGGAGGACTATAGGGTTAGCTTTGAAATACATCTGGGTTCCTCCTGTAAAACCTACTACGGAGGGTTGCGACATCCGCTTCTCGCCGCACCGGACTCACACGCTCTTGAGGGCCGGAAAAACCGGAACGTTTGTGGCTATGTGCGTGGGGGAATTGGATCCCGTTGGGTTTCCGTTGGGTTTCTGAGGTTCGGTGGTTGAAATCGAGCCTCGCGGATTTTGCGAATCACTGGGGGCCCGGGGGCCCCTGGCCACCGCAGCGAGACTCGGAACTGTGTGGCCTTGCGTTTGCCTTGGGTTTGGTGGCATGGGCCTTTACCAACCAAAATGATGAGCCAGAAAATAAGCTCAAGTGATATCCCCAACAGCATGCGGTGCTGTTTTTTAATGCTCGCACCAGATCCCTCGCAGAACCTCGTGGAACCCTCGTAGAGTCCTAGTGGAACTTTGGTGGAACCCTCGTGGAACCTTACCTCAGGGCCGCCCCAACCACCCCGGAGCCTATCTGGGCTGAGACCCCAAAGCTTTCAGCTGTTGGGGAAAAAAAAGACAAAACATGGCCATGGGTCAAAAGCCCGTGTGGTGAATTCACCTACCCTAAAATGGGATCCCAACACGGTTTTGAACCACAGGCATATGAACCCCCATGGTTTCAATGGTGGTTTGAACCCAGGTTGCGTATCCCAGAAAAACTCTGGGTGAGTTTGGCCACATAGGGGTGAGTTTCCGCGCAGGAGGCCTTGGTGGCAGCCAAGACCAAGGCTAGCCAGGCATCGGAGCAGGCCAAGGCGGCGGCCAAGGACGGCGGACCGTCGGCTTCGTCGGACCGCCGGTTTGGGTTGCCGCTGGATGGGGGAAGGAGTTCTTCCATTTGCTGCAATGTTTTATTTTTTTGATTTCCCCCTGTTGGTTTTAAAGGAATCTATCACTACTGGACATATTTTTACATTTTTTGCAGGGGTCTTAACCAATTGGAAGATTCTTGTAGCTTGTTGTCTCGAACGCCGCGTCTTCGATCTTTTCTCTTTTTTTGTTGTTGTGTGGTTCTTTTTGTGTTCATTTTGTTTTTCGCTCCGGTTTCTGTGCTTCTTCGACACAGCCCCTCCGCACCCTTGCCAGGGGCCTTTGCGTAGGTGAACCGAGAGAGTAAGCCTAGAGAGTACAGTCAGCCTAAGTGAACCTACAAAGTCAGCCCATTTTTTGTCAACCTATGTGAGCCAAGAGAGAGTTTTCTGACTCGTAGAAATCTAAGAGAAAAGAAAACAAACAGATCCCCGAAAGAACGTCAGCTTCATGCCCGTGGATGTTCAGGCAAGGTCAGGTAGGTTAGTCGGTTAGTCCCAGTTGCCATGGTTATGACGATCAAAGCCTTCAAGTGTTTTTTTCTTTTGGGTTTCCCGGAAAGATGTTTGCTGTCAGGAAACAAGGTTACCTGGTCTTTTTACCCCAATTACCGCAGATACCATTACCTTGTTTGAAATTTACTCACCCGTAGGTTGAAGGGTTAACACCTACCTACCTCATTGAAGAATTATACTCCCACCCATGGGTTGAAGGTTTTAAACACCTACCTCTGGGGTTGAAGAGCCTGTGGGTTGTTTAGGGTCAAACACCTACCAGACCTACAAAATGACCGGTGAAGGTTTGAACACCTACCTGTGGGTTGAAGATCCCTTTAAACAAAACACCCAGACGGCTTCCCCCACGGCTTACCCTAGTTACCTCAATTGCTCGGTTGCCTGTGGATTGAAGGGTTCGAATTTACCTGCCTGTGGGTTGAAGTTTGTTTTTGGGATCCTACCAGACTGGAAGGCTTTAAAGACCTAGCTACCTCTGAGTTGAAGATCCCTTTACAAAAAGAAACACCCTACCAGACTGTGGGTTGAAGGGATCGAATTGTCCTGCCTGTTGAAGTTTTTTGGGATCCTACCAGACCTACAAAATCACAATTTTTGTTGCAGGTTTTAACCCCTGGGTATGGCTCCAAACTTTTCAGAGCTGGGCCAAGGTGCCATTTGCCACTTGAGCCACGGCCACTTTGAAGGGCTCGTTTTCTGGGATCCAACCCCAGACCTACTCACTCACTAGTGAAGGTTCAACCACCTGTGGGAAAAAAGAACCGCCTCCCACCAGACCTGCCGCCATTTTTTGTTTGGTTCGGAGCTTCAGGACGGCCAGGTGCGCGCCACCTGCGCGGGCGCCGCCACGGGCGCCTGCACCTTGGGCGGCGTGGGCGGCGCCACGGGGCTGGCGGCGGGGGCCGCGGTGGGCGCCGGCCTGGGCGCTGCTCGGCGAGACTGGGGCGGGGAATGGAGCTCGACAGCCAAAGGGAGGGGTGGGGGTGGGGTGGTTTTGGTTGGGGCGGGGGTGGTTTGGGTGGGGGTGGTTTGGTTGGGGGCGGGGGTGGTTTGGGGGTGGTTTGGGTAGGGGTGGTTTGGGTGAAGCCTTCATTGCTAGCTGGTGAGTGTATCCACATCTGCATTTCAAGAGGGAGATGGCAGATTGCTTGTCCATCCATTCTTCCCTCAGCAAGTTGTGAAATATTTTGCCGGATCCCACTGGGTGGCGGGAGCTGGTGAGCTGGTGAGCTGGGGGTATTTGTATGAGTTGGAAGTCTAAGAGAGAAGGCCCGAAAACGCTGGCTTGATGTGCGGGACCCGTTTGCAAGACCGCGGCTCCAAAAGAGGTTGGCGCCTGATCTCCTCCAAGGCTTGTGTTGTTTTTGCAAGCCTCGGCTCGGTGTTGGGGGCCCCAGGTTTCTTGTAAGGGCCAAACCTTCGTCCGCGAACCTAAGCGCCGCGATGAGTTTTCAGACCTGGGACCACCTCAGAAGTGGTGGGTGGAATCCCCTTAATGATGTCCACAAAAACTCACCACGCAACAAAGAAGCAAGGGCACCTTCAAAAAGAAGGGGGACGGTAGCGCCAGTGAAAGGAGTTTTCCTTCTGGTTTCCCTTCAAAACCGCAAAACAAGAAAGGTAGCCTCGCTCCCACCACCATGGCAACTAACACAGGGTACAAGAGGAAATCATCTTCCTGCACCTTCTCCTGCAGGTGCGTTCTATTTGTAGGGATGGGACGGTCCAGAGGCACATTCTCGAACTTGTCCTCCGAATCGGTGTGTCTTCTTTGAGGATACTTTTTTGTTGGTGGGTTGAACAAACGGAACACCGCCAACAGTTTTGGCGGGTCCCCCGAAAAACACCCAGCAAGCCCAAATGAGCCACAATCAAACCCCGGGTAGATGAAGGATGTAAGGGACAATCCCAACCGCAAATAGCTGCGGATATCCGCCTTCTTAGTTCTTCACATGGTTCTGGGGATCAACCATTTTATTACCGGGTTTTGAGTATGACTCACGTGTGGTTGTCCCCAATGAATCAACCCCTGGTCGTTAATGTAGGGTGATAAACCCTCACCAAACCCATGGCCCCCCCCCCCTTCTTTAAAAAAAAATAGAAAAATAAAACATAAAAAGCAAACACCAAGAACAACCAAAAAGAACAAACACTAAGAACAAACAAAGCTGGGGTTGATTGCTCCACCGCGCCGAGGTGGTGCCAGCCCTTTTCACCTTTGGCCTGTCCATCCCCTTGGGTGCTGCCCTTGGGGGCTTCACCGGGCTCACGGTGGGCTGCGGCGTGGGTGTGGCCAGCGGCTCCGTGTCTGGGGCGGCGTGTGGCTACAAGGCCTACAAGCACGGGGACGACATCCAGGAGCTTTGGTTGGCCGCTGGTGCGGATTTTTTTTTTGGAATGAGGCATGGAATGAGACGTTTTTTGGGATTTCCTGAAAGGAAACCATAGGCGATGGTTTATAGGGGCCACACCGTCACGATGGGGACCCCTTCTCAAATCTATTTTCTCCCACTTTTCGGAGGGTTCTCAACTTGAGGATGTCACTTTGGTGGGTGCTTGCTATATTTCAAAGTTTGGGAATAAGCACCCAACCACCCAACCACCCAACCACCCAACCACCCAACCACCCAACCACCCAACCACCCAACAACGCAACCAATATTAGGATCCCCACAAACTACCTGGGGGCGTTGGCTCGTCCAGGAGATCCGTTCCCGGGCCATCAGCCGAGTCTCCTCGGGCGGCTCGCTCAGAGCGAGCGAAGGGTTCGCCATTTGTGGCAGGCTTTCCGAATGTTGTCCACGGATTAATCAACCGCCCTGTACGGAGTTTTGACCAGCTATTGGCCTAGGGCCCCTTATATACAGGTTTCTGGGTTTTTAGTTGGTTATAGGAGGGTGTTCCCCTCCAAAAGTAACGATTCCCCACTAAACCCAGGGACACTTCCCATTAATAAACTGGGGTTGATTAATCCGGGGCCAACATTAGTCAAAATCCACTTGGCGAGATCGTGAATAGCCATTGTAATGATTCCAAAGGGAACCCTGTGACCATAGGCCATGTACGGAGTTTTGACCAGCTATTGGCCTAGCACCCTCCCAGCCGTTCCCTTAGGTTTCTGGGGTTTTTAGTTGGTTTAGTGGCAGAGTTTCCGAATTTAATCCATTAGAACTTGTTGACTTGTAGCAGGACAGCCCAGCATATGGCTATGATTCTTAAGGGGTTGGTGGACAAATTCACCCTCCACCAAAGGGCCCCTGTTTGGCTGTTTTGAACGGGGTTCTCAGAGTTGGGGGTCACCCGAAACTGGATGGTTTCATGTTGGCTTCCCTCAAAACGGCACCTTGTTTGGGGGTTCCCCAAAAAAGACCCCCCCCAAATTGCCGCTTGGGCCAATTCTCAGTGAGTATTTTTTTCAACAACTTCTGGAACCCGTGACTGCCACTCCGAAACCCGTGAGTGCCACACCTGTTCATCCATCCGAATAGAGGGTTCCTTTAATCAATAATCGAAGGAGCGGCTCGGACCACTTTAAAAGGGGTTCCAAATGAACAACATCGAAAGACCTGCGTGAAGCATTCGAGCGTTCTACTTCCTGCCTCCACAACCATTTTGGGTCAAAGCAGTGAATCATTCGGCACTGCTTTGCATTTGCACGGCGTGATCTGGGACCCTACACTTCCCTTCCTAACTCCTCCCACTGAAACCGCTAAGGCCATATCCAGCTTTATTTTGCCTTTGTGGGGCTCGTTGATCCCTAGAACCATTTCGGGCTGGGCTTGCTGTAGAATTCCTGGAACTTAGCTATGGTGACAAATTGCTATATTATATGGGGGTTGATCAATATTCCTGCCCCCCACAACCATGGGTAACTTTTCCCAAGGGGGACCTATCCTCGTTTTAGTCGTTTTCCCCAATGGTCATCCCATGTAAAGGACCTTTTGATCAACCCTTTTCCACACAGCAGACTTGAACCACGCCCTCGGAATAATGGTCCCTGAGAGTGTTTTTGGGGCGCGTTGTGTTTGGTGTGACCCCAAAGGTCGATTCACTGATTCACCAAAACAAGACTCCGAGACCCACAAAAGCTTAGACCTGTTGCCGGCTTGGATCACAACCCTTAGCAAGGGATAGTTCCTATCATAAAGATGGTGCGGATATCCGCACCTTGAAATTGATTGTTGTTGTTTGTTTATTTTTGGAGAGTGTGTTGTTTTGTTTTTGCTTGGGTAGACCACTTTAGTGATGTGGACCCAGCATTGAGAAACCAGCAGTTGGCAAATAGGGGGATGTCCCAATTTTGAGAATCCAATTCATTTTTGAGCAAGACACCCCCAATAATCTAGCAGGTTGATCAGGTGGATTCCAGATCAAGTAAAGTAAACCCCACTGGAAACATTCCTTACCAGAAAATATTCACACCAAGGGGGCGGAGTCTTTTTTCCAAATCTCCCGAGTGGATGCTACTTGGACCGGGCCTGCGAGTTTGACTACGCCACAGGTATCAAAGTCAGTTTGGGTTCCTCCAATAGGACCGAGGGGCTGACTTTGAAGACGCTAAAAAACCGCAGCGCCAGTTGGATCCACGGGAAATTTCCACTTACTTGGACTCGTCTCCACCTCCTATTCACACCAAGTGGGTGAGTTTCTTTTTCCACATCTAAGTGGATGCTACTTGGAGCCATGGGAATTGCCCCCACTTCCCTGACACGACCCACTCCGAAGGATCATCAGACAGTATTTAAAACACGAATATATGTCGCGTATAACCTACCTGAAGAAGCCTTGGAAGGTACAAACCCCGGTTCGCTCATACCACTCTCAAGGGTTCCCTGGAAACAGTGCGAAAGTGGAGCCCGAATGAGTCTGAGGCGTTTCCCTCACTTCCCTGTCAGCCTGACACGACCCACTCCACTTTGGCGCCACGGGAATTTCAAACTTCCCAACCACCACCTCCCCGACCTCCGATCTTTGAGCGGTTCCTCCGAGACTCCGAGTGAGGCGTGGACGTGGTGCGGCTCCAGGCCGCGGCGTCCATGGACTTTGTGAAGTCCCGGGCCTCATCCATGCGCCAGCGCTTCGCCGCCTGAGCCCAGAGCCGAATTCGGCGAATTCCGCGGCGAATTCGGGAGACGTCGGCGGGGCCTCGGAAACCGCGCCGTTGGTGGGTTGCTTTCCCCCCGTGGATGGCGGTGGGCTGGACCTCAGAAAAAGCAAAGATCCGAAGGAGCGAACAGGGCGGGCCTTTTCCCAAGAAACAAATTATTTGCTGCAATGAATAAATGTTTCATTCTCTTTCGTTGGGTTTAAAGTGAATGGATTTCACTGCTGGAAGTATTGTGTCATTCTTTCGTGGGGACTTAGACAAACGGAGGTAAACCTGCAACAAGGTGATCGACATTTCGCTCAGAGGAGCAACCCACCCACACTTGTTGGAGCTAACTTCAAGGGTTGACACCCTGCGGGTAGCCCCCATGAGCAGCCGCTTTTGGTGTGGGGAAGACATGGGGACCCCGAATTCCATCCACGTAAAGGTGATTGGCTCTGCTCCTGGTGGATGCCTGTATGTGAGGTACATTTCGAACAAGAAAGCTAAGACACAGGCACGCTTCTCAACCAGCTAGGGGGGGATTCAACTTCTTTTCCACTTCCTGCACACCTCTGCTTGCACGGCGCCAGCATGCTCGCGCTGTTTTCCCAGGGCGCGCGGGGCGTGCATTCAAGAGCAAGGACATGTTTTTCTAAATCAGATGCAAGGTGCAAGAGGAGCTTCGGGCAATTCGTGCACGCATTTTGCCGGTGCTCTGCATGCGCAAGAGACATGCGCATGTCAGTGCTCGCGTTATTTTGGGCGGGGCATGGGCCGGGGGTGTCCAGCATGCTCCTGAGCGAGGGTGGCAAGAGGTCACCAAGCTGGCGCATCCCTTTCCGCCGTTTCGTCTTCGAGACATCGGAGGCCATGTACAGCCAGATCTAACAGATTGGAGTGCTCCCTTGCGAATTCCATGGGATGGGAGCGACCATGGGGTCAGCTCCTGCGCAAGTGTCTTCCTGCTTCCGGGGGTCGACCCTCTGGAGTAAATTTGCGCCGCGCGAGAGGAAAGAAGAGATCGGGAAAAATCGGCTAGGTCAAACTCAGGACTCACCAGGTTAGGAAGATAAGCCGTTTGGGGATAGGGTTGCCACCTTTCCTCTCATGGCTTTTTGATGTTTGGCCAACATGGCGCCCCCTTTTCGTGCGGAAGGTTTCCCTGGGAATGAGAGCCGGCGAACATTGCCTTGAGCTTGTGCCCTGGGTTCAAAGGCTGAAACGGGGAGTGCTCGCACGGTTTGTCTTTCTTGAGGCCTCCAGAATAAAAGCGGTTTCCTGGTCGATAGAGCTTGGGAGGTGTGGGTGACCAACAATAGACCGGAAAAGGAGAGGCGGACACCAATCAAGTTGCCGCCCTTGGAGGTTTGGTCATCGTTTGAAGGTTAGCTTGACTCTTGGCATTTTTTTTTCTCTTACTTTTTTTCCCTGTCCTGTTCACTTTTAATGGAGGGGCTGCAAAACAAAGCTTTTTGCTACCATACCGTGGATGGACGAAACCTGCACCTCTTTGCAACCATGCTGAAGCCATTGTTGGCATTTACGATGAGGATTCGAATCATTCCAGGGAACCTGTAAGGTGGTGCGAAGTGGATTTCGTCCGCAGCACTCGGGTCCGCTTCAGTTGGTTGGGGATTTGGCCCCCTCCTTCTTCTGGAGGGCAAATGGTACACCACCTTAAACCACCAATTGCGGGAACCTCCAAACCAAACCTCCAAACCTCCAAACCAAACCACCAAACCTCCAAACCTCCAAACTTGCAGACCTCCAAGCCAACTGGCCTCCTTTTCTTCTTTTTTTTTGAGTGTTCGGCCGCCGTTTTTTGGGCATCTCAGAGGAAAACCCCCAGCGAAACCACAAATCCTGCGGTTCACGTAGTCGCAAACCGAGGCGCGGCGTCCACGCCGAGAACCTCGCTGCTGCCATCTTCCGCCTTGCTGCCGACGAGCCACTCAGCTGAGCATCCGCGATTCGGTGGGTTGGTGTGGCGGGCACCGGCTCAAAGAAGTTGTTTGGCAAGTTGGAAATATTCTGGATGGGGGCAAAATCCATGTCGCAGCTTTACCAAGATGGTTTCAACCATGGTTGCAAAGTGGTGCGGAATGCATTTCGTCCATCCACAGTATGGCGGTGGCTCAAAAATGGACTCCCAACAGAGGCACCTTATGTGGGAACCAAGACTCAAACCTGCGGTTTTTGCCCCAGCGGTTTTATTTTGAGCCACACATATACGGATGGACGAAATCCTGCACCACTTTGAAACCATGGGACACCATTTCTTGTTGGTAGCCACAGGAGAATCATCATTCCAGGGTTTCTAGGAGAATCATCATTCCAGGGTTTCTTAGGTGGTGCGAAATGGATTCGGCCCATCCACAGTCTGATTTTGTTTGTCTCATTTTCGAGGGAGCCCATCCACCTCTTTCATGTCCGGGTCTCGGAGGCGGTGAACCAGGGTACGTAAACCGAGGTCTTCGCCCCGCAAGAGCGTTGGAATTTCGTGGGACCATGCAAGAGCCAAAGGAGAGCGGCAATTTTGCCTTGGGCGGAGAACCAAGTGGTTTTGGTTGGGCCGAAGGCGGGCGGGCATTCTGGGTCCGCAAACATCTCCACGTGGGACATCTTTTTGGCGCAACACCTTCCAACAAGTTTTGACTGTTTTGACTGCCTCAAGACCGGCCCAGCCGTTGTGCGGGTGCCTTTTTGTGGCAAAGGAACGTGAAGGAAGCCAAGTGTATGTCACTTGAATTAACTGTTTCAGTTTCAGAAAACACCCAGCTGTGGGGGGCACTTCTGGTAGAAACGGTTGCTTTGGTTTTTGCTCTGGGAGCTGCGATTTACGGGGTTCTTTCCGGGTTGGAGCGAGTAACCGTGCCGCCCGAGCGGTTGCAACAGCCCTGGCACGGCTTTGCTTCTTTCTTTCAGGCTGTTTCCGGTTGAAGAAGACCCCTACTGCCGCCCAAGCGGTTGGAACCGCCCTGGCATAGTTCTCTTCTTTCTTCTTTTCAGGCTTTTCCGGTGGAAGAAGACCCCTGGCCGGAGCTCAGTCCACCCCTGGCCGGACCTAAACCAATTTTCGCCCACCCCACGTTTTGCTAAAATCCAGACGCCCGCCCCACGCGCCGCCGCACGATCGATGGATCGATCGAAGCTGGATCGGCTTCGAGGCTGGCGGCAAAGCTTCAGCTCCCCCCAGTTGCCGGTGAGACCGCCGCGCCATGGCTGAACCGCGAAGTGACCGCGAAGATCCCCGGGGCTTTTTTGAGATCCATTTCCCCGCTCCATCCCAGGGGCTTTCTCAACTTCCGATCCTTTTTGCGGACTTTCGTGGGTTTCCCCCCCCGCACTATAGTAAAATGATGAGCTGGATTTGGGGCAATGCAGTGACCTGCCTGGCACCCTGGGCGCAACATGGCGATCTTGGCTCGGTGGCTCCCAGCCATCGGGTTCCTCAGCTTTTTAGGTCCTTTTAGTGTTTAGTGGTTGGGTTTCCGTATTTTACTCACAAGTTAGTCACCTTTGGCAGATCAGAAATCGCTTCGGCCCAGTTAAAGGATCCGTGTTGCCATGATACGTGCAGCATATTTTTAGTTGCTTTGTCAATGGTGTTTTGACAAAGGCTGCTCAGTTTCTGGGGAAGTTGAAGGCATCAAACAAGTTGAGGGGGTGCGAGGGAGGGTTCGAGAGGGGTGCGTCTTCAATCCGACACTCCCTCCAAAGTTGGATTAGGACGCGCCCCAAGGAGAGCTTGACTCGGATGTTTTCTCGCGCACTTCTACGGATGATGGCTAATGTCACATCCAAGCCAAACCAGACTGAGCCTGTTCCTAGGGGTGTGTCTTGCTTTGTTTTTGTATTTTAGGAGGGGATTCTAGAGGCAACCCAATGCAAACCAGGCGGACTCGGGTTTCGCGCACGGAATCTGTGAGAAAGCTCATCGCGCAAAGTTCAAGGGCTCGATCTCGCAATTTTCACATATTTCGATCGCAAAAAGGGCTTCTCCCTTTTTGCAGCGGGTCCTTACCCGCAGCATTTGGCGGAACCTCAGCTTCCTGCGAAAACTGCCAGGTCCTTCGGCGCAGGAACATATCCATGTACCATGATGCTGGGTTTTGATCCATAGCTGTTCATGCATGCCGCCTCTCCATTTGCGCGAATTGGCAGACCCGAGCCTAGGCCTTGGTTGGTGGGAGTCTTTGGAGGAGCTGAAAAAGGTTCCCTCTTGTATTGAATTGCACCCTGTGCACCTAAATCTTTTGAGGTGCACGAGCGGCGCGGCTGCTTTGAGGTGAATCGCTAATGAGAGGTTGAACGGCTGAACCCTACCATCGACGGATTCTAGTACCTGGTTTGCCATTTCGGGTTTTTCCCTCCGTGATATTTCTGGATCCCCGGGTTTTCACCAACCCCCGCCCCACCCCTCGGGGCTTGGACCAGTTCAAGCCGCGCCGCCGGGCCGGGAAGGTGAGGGACGGAGCCTCGGCCCGGAGAAAAACACATCGCCTTCAATGCGCTGTTTAAAGGGAAACCAAAACGGAACACCAACGGCTGTTTTGGAAGTTACCTCTATCCTTTTGACGGTTTCTTCTGGTTTGTTTTGAGGTGTTTTAAAGGGAAGCCAATAGAAACCGTCGCTTTTGGAGGTTACCTGTTTTTGTTGAGTGGGGACAGAACACTAGCCTGTTGGAGGTTACTTCTGTTCTGTTTGAGTGGTTTTAAAGGGACACTAACATTCAACCAGTCTCTTTGGCGCAAACCCATGGCGCGATATCTGGGCGAGGTATTTTTTGCTTCGGGTCTTTTAGGTTCTTAGTTGGTTTAGTTGTTGGGCTTCTCGTTTCTCGCACGAGATATAAGCTTTTGGCAGGGATCAACAAAACAGCCCGGCTCCTTTGCTGACATTCACCAAACGAAGGCCGGATGTTTAGGAACTGGGATGTATTTTGCGGCGTCCTAAGCGCCGCGGCTCTGGATTCGAGTCAATTCTTAGGGGTGAAATTCAAAAGACTGCCAGGTTCGCTGGTTTGCCGAACATTTGGAAGGAGGCTGACCCGTCTCGAAGTTGCAACCTCGGGAAAAAGGTGCGGCGGAGGGAGTCATTTCGCCGCGTCGCTTTTTGGGCGAGCCCCCGTTTTGTTGTTGTTTTTTTCCCCCCCCCGCATCGAAGTCACAAGCAAAACTGGTTTCCCACAAGCTAATAGCAAGTTTTCTGTTCGGCTGCAATAGCTTCTGCGTCCCAATCACATTGAATGAGTCAACCATATTTGCTATTGAATCTATTGAATATGAAGATGTCTACCCTCCCTCTCACTAACGCGGAGGGTCCCTTCAAAAGGATATTGAGCTTCCACAGACAGACCCTCCCACAGATAGGTTCTGTTTGTAGGAGGAAGGGCAATATGGGTATGGCTCAAACTTAAACCGCCAGGGCACCGCAGGTTTTAGTCCTTGGTTCTATTTAGCAGGGCAACCCATGTTGGGTACTCATTTTTGACCAACCGTACAGTGGATGGTTGCGAACTCCATTTGGCACCTCTCTGAAACCTATATAACGGAATGATTCGATCCTCGAAGGTAAACCACAGGGTGTTTCAGTGCCACGGTTGAAACACCCGAAGATCCCCTAACACCATGGTTGAAACCAACCTAACTCAAAACAAATCTTGTGTTTCAACCCTGGCTTCAGGTTTCAGGGGCTGCGAGAAGCGGATTTTCGAGCGGTAGGGCACTTCTGTTCTTCTTTCCGCTCACATCCCAGGCTCCCGCGGCCGCGCGGAGCTGAGTCGGGAATTGGGGGAGGAGGGGAGAGGGCTCACTTTTTCCATGGGTTCTGGTGGGGTGTTGGCTTGGGTTTGCAAAGCGGACATGGTGAGTTTGGTGCGTTTGTTCTGGTTTCAAAGGGGGACATGGGGATTTTTGTGGCCGTTCTCTTTTTGCCGGATCGGGTCTCTTGGGTAGATTGTGGGATACGAGAGTGACAGAGACTTTTCCACGCTTTCCTTGTATTTGTGGTTGCTCTGGTGGAAGCAGTTTAGAGGGGTTCACACATTTTGGTTACGCCACGGGGAGCATGTCCGTTTGCGTCAACAGGCTTGTCCGGCTTTCCACAGATTTTGGGGTGATGGTCATGTTGCTGTGGGAAGTTGGTGGTGCTCAGCAGGGAATGAGGGAATGACCCCGAAAAAACCATGCCCTATGGTTTCCTTGAAGGGGAAGTCCGGTTCATTCCCAAAACTCTGGGTCATTCCCTGCTGAGCATCGGTTGGAAGTTGCGTCAGCGGCCTTTTGTTGTGTCCCCGCAGGGAACTTGGTGGAGCGTTGACAACGAGCGTTTGCTTGGCATCTATAGTTTGCTTTGTTGCGTATCAGAAAAGTCGTTTGGATGTGAGCATTGTGCGTCTTCATATGTGTATGGTGAATCTGGGATGTTTTTTTTTTTTTTTTTTTTTTTTTTTTTTTTTTTTTTTTTTTTTTTTTTTTTTTTTTTTTGCGTGGTTCTTATTCTTCTTTTTTCTTTTTTAATGTACGGCGTATTGGTGTATTATTGCTATTCTTTTGATACTTGTTTGCTGGCCGCTCCCACGGATGTTTGTGGTTGTTTTGTTGGGTGCATCGCATGCTCGGCGCGGAAAACTCCGAGCTGAGTGCCGCGGATTTTTCCGGGGTCCGTATTGGGCGAGGCGATTCCATGGAAGCTGGGGCCCGAAATGGAAGACTTAGCCTCCTGACACGGAAGTGCACAGATCTAAGGTTGACCCCGTATGAATCAACCCCAGTTTATTAATAGGGGGGTGTTCCCCTCCAAAAGTGATGATTTCCCACTAAATCCAGGGACCCCCCCTATGAGTAAACTGGGGTTGATTAATACGGGGTCAACATTACTTTGTTTTTGGAAAGGGGCAACATGTGCACTTTATATGTGGGTCGGGAGGGTAGTTCCATTTTTCCCAGGTCCCAGTCATCCTAGAAGCTTCCATGTCATCGCCGGGATTCGTCGTGCTTCCCACGTAGAGTTTGGAGAAGCCAGGTAAGACCAAGCTTGGTCCTACGTTTTCGCGGACTTTAACTTTTTGGTTTCCCTTCATATTTCCTTGTAACCAGCAAAAAGTAAACTTTATGCTGGGGGATCTACGGCACCCAAGTCCATGAGGGCTTTTTGTTGGTCGGAGGTCAAGCTCGCAGAGCTTGCCGGTGACTTACTCGCCGAAGTCGCCGCCATCCAATAGGCCCGAAAGGCAGCTCCCGTCGAAGGGTGGACGACTCGAAATTTGGATGGGCTTCCTTCTGCCCAGAGAACCACCCCAAAAGGGAACCCTCAAAAAAGTCGACACAGGGGACACCCACTTGTTTCTTTGTACTGGAATGTTGACTGTTTGTGGGGGTTGAGAGTATATGGGTTGTGAACATGGCATTTCTTTTGACCCCGAATTGGTGCCGCCTTTTGAAGGGCTACCCAAAAAGGCCGCTCGTGAGCCAGACAGACTCAGAAAGTACGACGATTTTCTGGCGTGGTTGAATGTTGCCCCACCAGTTTTTGCAATTGCGAGCCACATGCAACCACATTGCGGCCCAATTTTCCGTTTGTTGTTCCTGCAAAAGCCACCAACAAGCGGTGGCCCCTCTTCCTTCAAGCTGGCAAGTGAGACTTCCATGACGAAACCCAAAGTGCCAGTATAAACACAGTCCTTTCTGGAAAGCTGTCAAGAGAGACTTCCATGACCAATTAGCAAAAACACCCAGGTGATATCTGATCCACCCCCAAACCTTGTCTGGGCTGAGACCCCTTAGCTTTCAGCTGATGCAGAAGCCTGAAACAAAAGGCACCAGGGTTCCCTGAACCGAATCCGTTCGATGTCTGGTCCGACGGGTTCTTCAGAAAGGAGCACTTTCCTTCGTTGGCGGGGGGGTTTCGTTCTTTCTTCTTCTTTTTTTCAGGGGCGGAGGGGATGATGTCACTCAGTCAAGGTATTTTTTTGTGGCAGGTCGCTCAAGTCATGTTGTCCCGGGCGTTTTCGGGGGGCATGATGTCCCTCAAGTCTTTGTGTTTTGCATCGGACAATCATTTTGTTTCCCGGACTGGACGGGGACACCCTTCAACTTTTCAGAGACCCGCAGAATTCGAGGCCAGCCTTTCCCTTTGAGGCGTGGCCTGTCCCTTTGCCGGCAAGCCCCGCCATGAGGATCGCCTAATATGTAAATATATATTCGGGGCCGGGGGGGGGGGGGAGCGAACCTACTTTTAACGGTATCATGTGTTGATAATCCTGCACCAAGGAAATTCTGGAATGATGATTTATCTACAATTGCTCACAAACGTGAAGGTTTCAACCATCCACAGTATGAGCAAACCGAACCACACAAGCCTTGGTGGCTATCCCGTTGGCCTTTTAGCTTTTTAGTGTTTAGAGGTAGTTTCCACTTAACCACTAAATGTTAGTCACTTTTAGCGGGGGATCCGAGGGCAGTCCAGAAGACGGATTCCTCAAGTGGATCATCCTTGGCGTGGTATGGGGTCTGCTTCCGCTGTTGAAAACCGGCACCAGTAGCTGCCTTGGATGGACAACATCCATTTCGCAGCGGCTCAGCTCGGCGGCTCGGCGGTCTACGGGGCACAGCAGGCGGCGGCTCAGCTCGGCGGCTCGGCGGTCTACGGGGCGGTCTACGGGGCTCAGCGTGCTTGCCTGGAGACAAGGACAATTCCTGGAAATGCGTGTGTGGCCAATTCGATGGTTTCTATGAAAGGTTGCTTAAACATGACTAGCCCCTTTTGGCCACAATTCAAGCACCCAGTAGGAGACGTACCTAAGAAACTTTGGAATGATAGTAGTCTCCTGCAAATATCTACCAATGTCCATGGTTTCAACCATGTTTTACTTCGTGCGATTTCTGGATTTCGCACCCATCCACCAGTATTTCCGATATTCCCCTTGAACTCGCCGGTGTGGGGCCAGTGGATTTCCGGTACTTGTCTTCGGGTTCCCTTTTCAGGAACCCCCCTGTTTTTATTTTTTTTTAATTTTTTCCTTTTTGCCCTGAACCCTAAATGGGCCCTAAACCCTATTTGTTTTCTTCTTTTTTCTCCGTTTCTTTTGGTGCGCTCCGTCCGACCTCGGGTCCCGACTCCGTTTCGAGCTCGTCTTGGCCAGGGTTCTGGGCGGCCTGCTGCCGGTGTCTGCTCTGGCCAGCTGCGCGGAGCCGCCGCGCAGCCCCGCGGACGGATTGACGGATCGGGAGGTGAGCCACGTCATTTATCGGGTGGATAAACAGGTCTCCTTAAAAGATACATGGCCATGAATTTCAATAAGGGTCCCGTATTGAAAAACATGGCCACATTTTGCAACCACTTGAAACATGTGGCTTTTTGAACACCAGAATGTTGGCAGCGGCCTGGACCCGGACAGAAATTGTCCGGCCTCAAGAGTGGGTTTGCAAATGGCCAGACCCAACGTTTTTGGACCCAAACAAAATTCCAACTTAAGAATGGGTGATTGCAACCCATTCTCTCTTCTCTTTTACGGGTAGTTTGAGGGTCCAGGTGGGTTGCTCCATGTATTTTGGACCTCCAAGAGTGGCAGTTTCACTGGGGACCACCAGGCATTTGTAACTTTGAGGGGGAAATCCAGTGACTGTTTGCAGCTGCTTGAGGACCAGTGGTCTCAACAAGTCCTTGTTCAAGTCTCATTCTGGGGGAAAGGGGGGCGTATCCTTTGACAACAAGGGGCCACTGGTTGCAAGACAGTTTCCCATGCAGGATTTGAGGGACCTGATTGGGTAGAAGGTAAGGGATAATCCCAACCAGAGGTGGGGCAAGAAGCCCTGGTAATTCTTGAGCCCAAAGTTGTCATGGGCATCAGCCGCTTTTGTATCACTTCGCTAACCCTAAACCTTTAAGAGGAACAGGCGGCATGCCTCGACACGGATTCCTGCACTTTGCAGGGCTCTCCTAGGACACGACGGTTCCTGCGTGAAGCTGGATACACGCCGAGGCCTGGTCTCGTTTTCCCTGTCCTCGGCCCTCATCCCCGCCGAGGCGATGCGTGCGGCGTCCGGCGTTCGACGTGGACAGGATTCCTCGCCTTTGTGACCTTCATGATACAACTCGAAGGAATTCCTAGGGGGGTCCTGGACAAAGGAATCCTCGCACTCCCACAACATCTGGACTTGGTTGTATTTTGTTTTTGCTTGCTTTTGGGGCCCCAGGGCTTGGGTTTGTCTGAATCGGAACCGCTGGTTTGCTGTATGGTTTCCTGTTGGTTTCCCTTTAAAGCCAGCCGAACAGGTACCAACTCCAAAAAAGAGACAATTTCCTTCCTTGGCCCGAGGCCTTCAAGGCAGAACCAGAGTTTTCGCGGGCCAGGCTTTGCTGTTGCTCTCCGATCCGAAGTTCGGATCAAAGGCGACCCAAAGGCGACCTTTTTTTTCCTGGACCCGACGGGTCATTCAATCCCGTCTCCAAAACGGGCAACGGACGGGGGGCGCTTTTCTTGCCCGGAGGCTCTAGTTCCAGTGATTTAGGGCCCGAGCGCCAGCGTTTTGACACCCAAACACGAAACGGGTGAACGCCTCAGTGAAATGGCTGAACGGTTTCAAGAAAGACGAGATAAATCCAAGAAAGGTGTCAAAAGGGTCCCTCTTGACACCTCTTGACAACCTTTTCGTCCCTTCACCAGAGAAACAAGGTGTCACAAAAAGGACCAGCCACCCATTGTTGGAAACTACCCGTGCTTCGGGACGGCTCGCAAAGGAATTGGGAATGGGTGATCTGTTTTACCCAAGGGATCGAACAACGAGGTAACAAAGTGCGATGGCCATGTTTTCAAGAGCCACTGAAAACAGACCACCTGGACCCGCCATTAAATAAACATGGGGCAAGTTACCAGGCCCAAAATCATGGACCCTCCAAATTCCTAGCCTTAAAAGCTGGGGTGAGTTGGAACCCCATCTTCCTGTGGGTCAAAAACGTTCCTTGGTTTCGGGCCGGGCCGATACGATGAGAAACGCGCCGGACGCAGACGACGCCTACGCGAGGCCTCCTCCGAAAGCTCACCTGGGAGCCTGCCCGTGTCCGACTTCCTGGTCCGCGCCTCAAGACCTCCAGAGCTCAGGGCTCGAGGGCTGGGGGGCTGTCGGGCCGATTGTGGGTCGGTCGCTTTCGGTCGGTCGGTCGCTTTCGGTCGGTCGGTCGCTTTCGGTCGGTCGGTCGGTCGCCTTCGGTCGGTCGGTCGCTTTCGTTTTTTTTTTTTTGGCGGGGAAGGAGGCGGTGGATGCCAGCAGTTGAGGTGGATGCCAGCAGTTGAGGTGGATCCCAACCATGTTTTTCTGGGGGGAAGCTCGAGCCGCGAAGCTCGAACCTCCATTTTTGCCACAGCTCGTGATCTTGCGCTGAAGTGTGGCAATGCGATAGTGCACAAACTGGCCGACCTAACAAAGGAGAACCAACAATTTGTTGGCAGGCCCTCCCAGGAAAAGTTAATGACTTTCAAGCAGGGTTTGATCACTAGGGGTTTATCCTTTTGCCACAGTTCGTTATTTTGTGCTGCATTCTGGCAAAGCGATAGGCACGGGCCAAACTGGCCGACCAAACAAAGGAGAACCAACACTTTGTTGGGGGTCCGAATCCCAAACATCGCAGGCCCTCCCAGGAAAAACCAATGATTTTCAAGCAGAGTTGTAGTGGATCACTTGGGGTTTCTTCAACCGCTGTGGTCTTCTTGGAGGCAAAGGGGGCTCGCTTGCGAGCGAAGCGAAGGGTTCGCCACGTGTAGTCAAAAGACCGGCTCCTTTACTTGGTGGCTCAACCAACCGTCCCTTTGGTTCCTTAGCTTTTTGGATCTTTTTAGTGAGAAAAGTGGCTGGATTTCCATTCAGCTCGCCAAAAGCTAAAGTTTTAGCAGGGGATCTGAGGACAGCCCAGGGTGGATGCGGTAGGTTTGCAATCCGGCTCAAGGGGTTGCAGTTTGGTTTTTCAGGTTTGGATTCTTTTTTTGGTCCACATGAACCGGAGATACAAACACTTACTAAGTTTTGTAGTCATCCAAGTTGATCTTCTCGACCATAAGACTGGGGGTGTAGGATCCTAGAGATATTTGGGTCTTGTTCTTTTCGAGTACCCTTTTTTGGCGGATTTTCGGGTTTTCCTTTGGTTTCTCTGTAGAATCGCCCAAAAATGGGGTAGCCTGAACAAAACGGTCTTAACAATTCAAAACGCAAAAGAAACAGCAGATACCCTCACAAAAAGGCTATACCTTTTTGGTCTTTCAACAAATCTGGCCGCAAAACCCAGCGGCCACCCTCAAAACAGGCCGTCTACCCCTTGATGCCATTTTAAGCAAAAAAAACCCGAAAACAACACGCCTACCTTCAAAAAGGCCATCTACCCATTTATGCCATTTTAAACCCACCCGAGAAAAAATGGAGCAAAAACCACGGCGGCCCTCACACAAAGGCTCTGTCCCCCGTTTTTTTTTCCTCTTCCGCCGGCGGATTCCCCGCGGTGAACCTCTCCGCGAGGCCCGGAAGCTCGAAGCCATGGCTGAGGAGACGGCGCGGCGAGAAGTTCTCGCCGATTCCGTTTTTGGGGAAGGGATGGGGCAAGACCCTACCAAAATAGACAAAACCGAAAAAAGGTTGGTAGCCTTATGTTGGGGGATGTTCCCCTAGGCAACCAAATTGCTTGGCTGCTATTGGGTTGGATCTTTGGGTTTTAAGTTTTTGGGACATTTTAACGGGGTTTTAGGAAGCCCGCAAGAAGTGAAGCTGCTTGCGGAGGGGTCAACAGCAACCAGGGTTGGAAAGGGTTTCTTGGGTTGGCTTTTCCGGCCCCGCTAGTCCGGAAGGATGGGAACTCCGAGTTCCTGAGCAAAGCCATCGCCAAGTTGGAGAAGGTTTATTCGGAGGCCCGCGAGAAAGAAATGGCGAGAAGCTCTGGTTGTTGATGCCATTTTTTCCTTCGGCTCCTTTCACCCCGCGGAAAGGAACACTGGGGTCCAACATTCTTTTTCGACGGTATTTATTTTTTCTGCGTGTTTTAAAGGGGAACCAAACGAACACTTTTAGTTCTTTTTTTTGGGGGGGGGGGGCCAAAAAAAATCAGACCCATTGGGAGGTTTCTTTCTTCCAGCGGCGACAACGATTGTGATGGGTGAATCCGATGGGTGGGACTGGGTGGGGCAGGTTCTTGGAGATTTCGGGATTGCATTCAAAACAGGGGTAGAGGAAGGTTAGGGAGAATCCCAACCAGAATGGATGCCGCCCATTCCTTACATTGTTCTGGGTAGACCACTTTGATACCGACGGTTTTTGATGATAACTCATTGCGCGTCTTCCTTTTCCAGGGGTACTCTTCCAGAGAAAAGCAAAAACGTGCGCGTGCATGCATGTGTGTGTGTGTGTGTGTGTGTGGAAAGCGAGCGTAAGGAAACCTGCAGTTTCGAAAGGAATTGTTCTCGCGTGAGCCGCGCGCAAGGCTTGCACGAGGCAAGCTTATATGATTATAAGCGTGTAAGAAAACCTGTATTGCGCGTATGCTCGCGTAAGCACCTTGGCGTAAGAGTTCCTTGCGACCTAAGATGGAACAATATCTTTTGAACGCCGCTCAATTCGGGGTCATCCCATTTGATTTCCATGTTGATTCTTCTCCGAGAGGATTTCCATGCTGACTTGCACACAGCTCTCAAACTTTCAATCCTTCTTTTTTTTGGGTGGCACACGTGTTTCTCGTGTTTTTGTGGTCTAAGCTTCGGGTACCCTGTTGCCCTGGATGAACCTTTCTGGACGGTGCCTGTATTAAAGCAGGTAACACATGCATCGTTGCAGCTTGAAACGCCTGACATGACAACCCCAATAATTGGAGGGTAAGGGACACTCCCCTGCCACAAATTGGGGTGCCTTCGCTGCCTTTTCAAGGCAGCGAAGGCACGGTTCTCTTCCTTACATGGTTCCGGGAATCGACCATGTCAATGATTACTGTGGATGGACGAAATCCTGCACCACCTAAGAAACCCTGGAATGATGATTACCCCTATAAATACCAACGAACAATGGTTCCCACGGGTTCGTTTTTGGTGCAGGATTTCGTCCACCCACAGTATGACTCACCTTGAGAATTGAATCGGTTGCCAAGGGAAGGGTCGAGCTTGCGGCTTGGTGTCCAGTTCAGGGGCTCGACCCTACCCGCACTCCTCCCCGTGGCGCGAATCTGAATGCCAAAGTCATGCGGCTCAATGGGGGAACTTATGCAAGAGATGGCTTTTTGTCCCTGTCGTTTTCGCTCCGTCTTTTTGAAACAGCTTGGAAAAGCAGACCCTCAAAATGACACACCCAGGTCTCTCAAACCTTTTGCGAACGGCACCGGCGATACTCGGCACTTGTGGCAGCTGCCAAACCTGCAACTGTGCAGGTTGGGCAATTGTTGCAAGGGAATAGGTTGACGAGTTTAAATACTGGGAACCACCTCAAAAGTGGTTGGACAAATTCATCAACAGCTGGGCTTGGGGCCGGGCTTGGGGAAAGAGCCTAGCTCCTTGAGACACCCCCCTCAAAATGGCTTCGGTTTTTCTTTCGTTTCCCTTTAATCCAACCCCCAACAAGGGGTCCCTCCACAAAAGAGACAGAAGTTCTGGTCTCCCATGTACAAGTGAGGGTTTGATGGTTGTGACTTCTCTTTGGGGACATGCTCGTGAAGTTGGGTTAGCAAGACCAACAAGGAGCAAACTTGCCATTCTTTTTTCTTGATTTTTGTTTTTGGGTGGGGGTGGGGTGGTGGGAGTGGGTTATCTAGGAAGACCAACAGGAACCAACTTGCCATTTTTTGGGTCTACCCTAATTTTGAGACAAACCCAAATGAGGCACAATCAAAACCATAGACGAAGCTCAAGGGATAGTCCCAACAATAGACGGGCGCGGATAGCCGCCGTTTTAGTTCTTCCCCTGGCAGGGGGAAGTTTCTCCACCCGGTACGTCAGTGGCTCGCTCCATGCATCCCGAAACTCCACTTCTGTGATTCTTGAAAGGAGGGCGACCTTAATTTTCCGGGTCCTTTGGTCAACGCTTTGTGGTCATTTACGTTGGTTGAGGTGCCTTCGACACTTCCAACGTTCGACGTCAGGAGCTCACCGGCACACGCCTGGCCGCCGCAGAGTCCAAGAAGGCCAGCCACACGCTCCAAGCCCCCTTTTTTGGGGGTGGCCCGCTCGTCTTCTGTTGGAGGGTACCCACGTTTTTAAAAGGAAACCAAAGCAAAGAACCACCCCATTTTTTAGGGGTTTCCCTAAGAAAGTCCCCCCCCCCCCCATATGGGCTTCTGTGCCATGGTCCAAACCTGCGGTCGACTGAAACCTGGTAGATGGAAAAGCAGAGTAAGACCAGCTGTCCGGATCCCGGCTCTTAGTTTTTGAGCCACGCCCCATGTGTTTCTTTACTCGGGGTTAATGTGGGGATAGTCATTCACCCGGTAAGGATCCTGAATAACCATGACAATGATTCCTATTCAAGAAACCATGACCATAGGCCGTAGAACTAGTCTTGGCATATGGGGAGGTTCCCAAAACGGCTTGGGAGCTTCCACGTTTTGGGTCGGTATCTCATGGACGCCAAAGAACACCCCAAGAATTAATTTGACAAGCCTTAGGGGCCCGGAAGCAAGGTCAAATAAGGCAAATTGTGCGTGCAGGTTTTCTTCACTAGTCTACGTCAATACGGCAATACGCGTTCTCTCACTTGGTCACATCAGTCATGTGAATTATCACATCCCGCACAATGTGGTCCAGGCCGTAGACCCTACCCTTGGGTTGGGGGGGAAAATAAAATAAAATAAAATAAAATAAAATAAAATAAATAAATAAATAAAATAAAATAAAATAAAATAAAATAAAATAAAATAAAATAAAATAAAATAAAATAAAATAAAATAAAATAAAATAAAATAAAATAAAATAAAATAAAATAAAATAAAATGGGGAGCAAAATAAAATAAAATAAAATAAAATAAAATAAAATAAAATGAAAAAATAAAATAAAATAAAATAAAATAAAATAAAATAAAATAAAATAAAATAAAATAAAATAAATAAAATAAAATAAAATAAAATAAAATAAAATAAAATAAAATAAAATAAAATAAATAAAATAAAATAAAATAAAATAAATAAAATAAAATAAAATAAAATTAAAATTAAAATATGTTCTTGGAAAAATAAAATAAAATAAAATAAAATAAAAATAAATAAAATAAAATAAATAAAATAAAATGAGGTTAAATAAAATAAAATAAAATAAAATAAAATAAAATAAAATAAAATAAAAATAAAATAAAATAAAATAAAATAAAATAAAATAAAATAAAATAAAATAAAATAAAATAAAATAAAATAAAATAAAATAAAAATAAATTGGGGGTTGGGGTTGGGGGTTGGGGGTTGGGGGGTTGGGGGGTTGGGGGTTGGGGGGTTGGGGGTTTGAAGGGCTGGGGGGTTGGGGGTTGGGGTT